GCCTGGTCACCCCTTACTGCCCTGCCTGCCATCATGACTGCCCCCAACTGCCCTCTTTGCCAGCCTGGTTGGCCCTAACTGCCCCCCTCTGCTGGCTTGGTTGCCCCCAACTGCTGCCCCTACTGGCCTGTTTGCTCCCAACTGCACCAATTGCCAGCTTGGTCACCCTTAGTGCCCCCCTGCCAGCCTGTTCACCCCCAACTTCCCCCCTCTGCTGAACTGGTTGCCCCTAACAGCCACCCTGCCAGCCTGGTCACCCCTTACTGCCCTGCCTGCCATCATGGCTGCCCCCAACTGCCCTCTTTGCCAGCCTGGTTGGCCCTAACTGCCCCACCCTGCATGCTTGGTCACCCCTCACTTCACCCCTGCCAGCCTAATTGCCCCTGCTGGCCTGGTCACCCCTAACTGCCCCCCTGCCAGTCTGGTCACCCCTTACTGGCCCTCACTGATGGCCCAGTTGCCCTCAACTGCCCTGCCTGCTGGCCTGCTTGCCCCGTACAGCCTGCTCTTCAGTTGTTTGGTTGTCCCTCACTAACCCCCCTGCTGGCTTGGTTGCCCCACACAGCCTGCTTGTTCAGTTGTTTGGTGGTCCTTCACTAATTCACCTGCTGGCCTGGTTGTAGGCAGCCATCTTATGCGGGTTAATTTGAATATCACCTCTTTATTATATAGGATATTCATTATGGACTGATGGATTCCTATTTTCTTTAGTGGTTTATAATTCAATATTTTCTTCTCTTGTTTTGCTTTGCTTTTGGTTCTCAGATAGTTTCAGATTTGGCCAGCAGGAGTCTCTTCAAGTCACCTCTTTTGTTCCAACCATTTTTTTTTTAAACATTTCTGTAATTTTTGTCATAACAAGATGTTTCAGGCTCATCTTGTGAGTACTGGGCCCCAGTCCTGGAATTAGTGTCTCTCTGAGGAGCCCTGGTCCCTAATACTAGCTGTGCTTATTACTAATGTTGTGTCTTTGATCTATCAGATATTGTCTTATTATATTTTTAATTTTTCCTAATTTTTTAACAAGAATAATCCTACATGAAAACAGCTAATATGCAAATTAGACCAAATAGCAGAATGACCGTCTGGATGACTTTCCAGATGAAGCCAGGGCTGCAAGGCCTGGCTGAAGCCGTGAGGGGCTTCGACGGTTGGCCGAGGCCGTGAGGAGCTGCGAGGAATGGCCAGGGCCGTGAAGGATGGCGAAGCAGCCGGAGCTGTGAGAGCTGAATCCCTTCTATGAATTTCGTGCTTTGGGCCTCTAGTACTACTTTAAAAATGAAAACTATTCAGATATCTATAATGAAAAAAATACCCACAGGTAAGCATGTTTACATGTAGTATATATTCTTCCAGACTACAATTGATCCCTGACAACACTGAACAGCACCAATCCCCTTATATGCAGATTATCCTATATTATAAAAAGGTAATATGCAAATCGATTGAAAGGCAGAATGACTGGTAGCTATGATGCACACTGACCACTAGGCTGCAGATGCTCAATGCAGGAGCTGTCCCCTTGTGGTCAGTGTGTTCCCACAGGGGAAGCGTCACTCCATCAGGCTTGTAAGTGCAGTGGCAGTGGCAGGAGCCTCTAAGGATGTCCTACTGTGGCTTAGGCCCACACTCTAAGCTGTCAGTCTGACATTCCCCTGGAGTTCTTGGACCGTGAGAGGGTACAGGCTGGGCTGAGGGACCCCCCCTGAGTGCACAAATCTTGTGCACCAAGCCTCTAGTCTAGGGGTGTCGAACTCAATCAGAGAAGGGGCCAAAATCTAAAATCCAGCCTAAATCGCAGGCTGAATGGTTTACTGAACAGTCATAAACTGTCATTGTGATGGAAACGCAGCGGAGTGCAGTGATGACAGCGCGGTGCGGTGCGGGCCACATTGCAAGGCCTGGCGGGACGGATTTGGCCCGCGGGCCTTGTGTTTGACACATGTGCTCTAGTCCTACCCAATAAAAGAGTAATATGCAAATTGACTGCACCTTTGCTATGCCAAAAGCCACACCCACCAGCCAATCAGGGCAAGTATGCAAATGAATCCAACCAAAATGGAGGTTAATTTGCACATCAAGACAGCAGTAGAAAGAAGCCAAGCCCTGCAGAAGGGAGCAAAGCTGCAGAGAAGCAAGCAAGCAGGGTGTGGAGAAGGAAGAGAAGCAGGCAGGATGGGGGAGAAGGAAGGGAAGCAGTTGGGGTTGGGGGGAGCAGAGCAGGAAGACCTTTTGCAGGAATTTTCAATGCAGATATGCAAAGAAGCATGAGCATGGATTCAGATCCTAATGTTCTGACTTCAGAGACCATGCTTTCCCCTGCTACATTCTGTCTTTGAGCAGCCCTCTATCAGGAAGAGGGCTTCAATTATTTATGCACCCAGTTATAGAGACCAGCTCCCCCTTTATCTGGCACTATCTTCTCTATTGGAAACATTATCCATGCGATTGCTTCCCAGCAGCTGAGCTTGTGACTTGGTGCACAGAGAGAATGGAGAAAGCTGTAGAAGCAGTGAATCTGACTTGTGTGGGGCCCAGGGAAGCCAGTGCTGCCTGTGTTGTTTCCTCTCAAACATGGCAATCCTGCCTAGGCAGGGGAGCAGTGATTCGTGTATGTGTGTGTGTGTGTGTGTGTGTGTGTGTGTGTGTGTGTGTGTTTTCCCTGGTATAAATTCTTTGATTGCCTGAATGAATTGCAGACTGTATTATGAAACACCAACTGCCCATCACTTCTGGAGCTCATAAACACTGCTGACCCCTGTCTGATATGATAAATATCTAGGTCAAAGTCTTGTACCTGGGCTACTTTATTCACTGAATTCTTTCTCTCTCCAGGGAGGTATAAAACCAAACATTAAGATTACATTTTTTTCCTCTCCAAATATCCCTTTGTAAAAACCTCAGATGGGTCAGGGACAGGTCTGGACATTTGGTCAGTTCTTTCAGGATGTGGTTTATGAATGAAATGACATTTCAGGGAGGATTTAAGCTTCAGTATGATTTTGTTTCAGCCTTTCCCACCCTGTCTGGCACACACCCTCCAGTGGAAGCAGTGGTCAGTGACACTAGCAGAAAACTAGCCTGGTCCTGCTTCTAGGAACCTACCATGAGACAGCCTATGCCTTTTCACCTCTACCTTGCCCCCGTCTGAATGCTTTATAGACTTCTGACTTGCCCACACACTTGAGACTGGGGTGAGAGGATATAATCCAAGGGCACATTTTCTCCTGAAAGAAGAAAGCCCACCCTCTCCTGTACCAGGTATCATGTATGTTTAATCACACCCACGTTTTTGCTCAAGTCATGAAGATGAGGGCACAAAGATAGACATCTGCTGTAAACATAAGAGCATCTTCCTTTACCAGCTCCCTCATCGTCTTCTTTTTAGGACAGAGCTTGCCCCTGTGGCATCTGAAACTTGCCTGGGCCTGTGAGATGGTCCTCCATGAGGCTGCCAGGTGGATGGCCGTCCAGGCAAAGCCAGGGCCAGTGGGAAGCCACAGGTCCACTGCAGACTTCCATGTCTTGAGCACCCTGTCATCAGAGATGTTGAAACCAACTGGGGTGCCCAGTTCCCAGTCTTCAGGAGTGACAGGGAGGGCAGCACGCAGTAGGTCAGATTAGTTTTTTATGAGTTTCTTCTAATTCTAAATCCTGAGGTGTTTCATTGATGAAACTCCCTTCTCTGTTACATACACAAACCTTCCCCCTGCCCTCTGTGGGGTTACCAGAAGCAGGCAGGAATGGAAAGGAACCCTTCTTTCCTCTCTGGGAATAGCTTCCCTGTTTCCTTGGATCCAGAAGCCTTATTACTGCTCTGCACATCCTGTATCATCACCAACTTTCTGGGATGTTTGGTCCCTCCATCGGGTCAAAAGCTCCTTGAGTAAAGCAAGAGATGGAGGCTTTATTCATCTTGCTTTTGTAGGGGGCAGGCCACAAAGGTTTATGAATAAACAAGCAAAGTAACTTCCAGTTCCAGAGAAGAAGATCTATGGGGGCAATAACACCCTCAACAGTGTCTTTCAAGGTGTGTCCATTAGAGAGAACCACATGTGTCCCATCCCACTCCTTAAAGTCTCTCTGGCTCTGAGTTGGGGTGGGCTGCCTGACTGTTGTGCTGGTAGAGTGTTGTGGCTCCCACAGGTTAGTGCAGGGGAGGCCCAGGACTGTAGAGCTACCAGTTCCCACAGCTCTATCCACACACCCATTTCTGAAGCCTTTCGCATGGATGCAACCCTCGATGACTGGAGCATGACTTTGGCAGGTCTTGGCCAGCAGTAGAAGTTACGTTTTGGGGGCCTGGATCCAAAGGAAGAAAGGCCTGAGAGCATCAAGAACAAAAGAGGAGCATGGCCACCTCTGTACCCTGGGTCAGTCTGCACCCCTGCCTGGGCAGGATTGCCATGTTTGAGAGGAAACAACACAGGGAGCACTGGCTTCCCTGGGCCCCAGCTGGGTTAGGGAGACAGTAAGGATCCCTCGAACTTTAAGCCTCAGCCTGCCTTCCCAATTTCCCAACAAGGACCTTCCACCTCTAGTGGTGCCATCTACTGTTTCCTGCCTCAAACCAAGCATGGCTTGTCCCTAGAATGGTTCAGGCATTTCTGCCTCCTCCTTTTGCTCACATGTCTGCCTGACCTTGATGATTTTCTCTTCCTTGTGTCCTGTCTGCTACTGCCCTGCTCTAGTCCCTCTGCTCCCAGGAGGCCTCATTCCCCCATCCCAGCTCTCCTGAGCCCCTTTTTGCTCCTCCTCCCTCATCCCTGATCCTCATGGTCTTCTCCCTTTTTCCTAAGTGTGAATGTATCCCTTTGGCAGTCTGGGAGTTTCCAGGGGCTGTAACCAGGGCTCCTTTTATCCCCAGCCAATCCTGGCCGAGCCTTACTAGAAATGAGCAACTCTGGTCTCCCAAACTTCTCCCCTCGCTCCTTTGTTTTCTCTGAATTGAGCACTTGGACACGGGGCAGGGTTAAAAGAGACATGGACCTCTACAGACAGAGAAAGAATGTACTCCTTTATTCCCTGTATGAGAGACTGCTATGGGAACAGCCAGCACTCATGAGGTTTGGGACTGGCTTGGTCTTGGGGACTCAGCCTTGCAGTGACGAAGATACTGCTGGCTCCACAGATCGGGCAGGTCCAGATGGGGGCTGTTGCCCCTTCCTCAGAGCTTCTCCAGATAGGAACCAGGTACAAAGCCACGCTGTCCATTCTGTTCCACTGTCCACCAGCCATCCTCCCCTTCTAAGATGACCTCCACGATGTCCCCAACAGAGATGTCCAGCTCATCAGAATTCTTGGCAACAGAATGAAAGTGCATCAAGCTGGAGGGGCCTGGTGAGAGGGTCTGGTCGGGCAACCCCCCACCCCAAGCCATAAATTTGAGCTTTTTCCTATGTAGGCTGAGTTACCTGAAACATGCCCATCTTCCTGGGGCTATAGAACAAGGCCTATCTCTGGGCTGGGGCAGTGGATTCAGCTTCCTGTCCACCCCAGCCTCCTGGTTTGTCATTGTAGGCCTCCCACAAACCTGGCTTCTTCCCTGCTGTCCCTTCTCGCACTCTGCTTCAGGCACACAGTGACCTTAGCAAGTCAGGGGCCAGGTCATGACCTTGCCTAAGGGGTACCATACATAGCCTCCCCTCTGCTGGTGAGCTCTCTTGAGCTTCCTCAGTTCTGCTTGCCTCTTTCACAACCACACAATCCTTCTCCGGGCCACTCTCCCCTGCCAGGGACAAGGCTTTGGGAATCAGTGTAATCTACCATGCAGCCCACCTCGCCCTGAGTGGGTGCCTGGGCTCAGTCCAGATTGATATGGGGTCTGTCTCTATATCCTTCACCCCAAAACAGGGATCAGTTCAGACTCTGTGGGGAACTCAGCACAGCTGCCCTGTGACTCCTTGACCCATCCTCTCCACACAGACCTCACAAAACCAAACTGAGCTCAGTTGTGGGATTTATTCTGGCCATCTTTTTGGCACCTAATGCCACGGAGCACAGAGCTCTAACCTGAGGGTGCAGAGCTTGAAGCTTGGACCATTTTCTGTAGGTAGCCCACGTTCCGCTATCTGATTGTACATGTGTACATGGATGCACACAAGGACACATACAATGTCAGTATCTGGGCACCACATGTGTGCGTGTGAACAGATTCAAGGAGACATAGGCCCTGGTACCATATTCATCAACATTCACTCAACAGATACTAACAGAGCCCCTCTTAAGTGCTGTGTGCTACTTTAAGGGCAAACACCCAGAGCATACTTACAGTTCATGTGCCTACATATGAACTCACCCTTGGGTATCCCTGTGCCCTGCTGAGAAGGAGAGAAGGGCAATGGCCTCACCTGGGCTGTGTAGTCATAGATCACCCTGTATCCCTGGGCTGGCAGGGGGGGTCCTGGTGCCTCCTGCACTGCGACAGCAGCGTAGACATCCTCATTCTGATTGGGGATGGGAGTCAGGGTGTCTGTGGAGGCTGAGAGCAGAGTGAGGCCTGGAGCCCACCCCTTTCATAGGACACTGATCCCTGGAGGCCTCCTGCATGGAGTGTCCCCAGAGTGGCTTAGCTTTTTTCTCCCCATAGTAGTTGGAGGGCCCATCTGGGCATGCAGAAGTTCCCTCCTTCACCCTCAGCCCCCACATCACACCCAGCCAGTTACCTGCAGAGGCTGCCGACTGTGTATTCTTGGGACTTCCATGCAGCAGCCCAGAGAATCTGAGGACAGGGAAGAAGCAGGTAGGTCCTTCAGGGAGGGAATGAGGCAGGGAGCCCTCAGAGCTGTGGTGGGGCCACTCCCAGTCTCCCGACTCTGAAGTGATTTATGGGGTGCTTCTCTCAGGCATGAGCATTCCCAAAAGGGTGGTCCCAGTGGCCTTATTCCAGCAGCACCCTTTCAGAACCTCACACTGTAACCTCCTCTCGGGCACCTGGCCCCAGCAGATCCTTGCTCCAGCTTCCTCTGATGGGCAATAAGCCATCCTTCAGAGGCTGGCACACTCACCCACTGTGATCATCATCTGCATGGGTCTAGCTAGCCTGCCTCCTGGCTTCCACTCCCCAAACTTCTCCCCCTGTCAAGTCTCTGCTCTGCACCTTTGCATCCCCTCTCCTGTTCACTGGCAATGCCTTGCACCTCAGTCTCTGCCTATTAAAGCTAAGTCTTTCAAAATTTGTCTCCACCAGGCAGCCTTTCCTGAGGCAGGTACGCAGCATCAGCCTCTACTTATTTATCCTTTAGCACTGTTGGCTTCAAGGGGTAACCCCAGTATCTGCCTCTTGCTTGTTCCATTTCTTTTTTGAACCTTCATAGCTCCAGCTCAGTCCAGGGCTGAGCCAGGCACAGGGAAGGAGTGAATTAGCCCAACACTGCCTATTGCGAGATGGGGAATGTCCAGCCTGTGGACCATATAAGGCTCTCAAAATCATTTCTCATGTTTCATTTCTGTCCTTGCTTGACACTGTCCCAGGTAAGATTTTTCATCCATTTTTTAAAAAATGACCACCTATGACGGGATGCAGGTCCTTATTGGGGTTGCAAGGAGATCTGAATATCCCAAGATATTGGGTAACATTGTGAGGTTGTGAATGTCTTTTTTTTTTCTGGGGTCACTGCCTTGTTGAAATTCTCAGAGAAGAGTGCTGTGCTCCCTGCTCTGAGCTGCGGTAGTTCTCATGAACCTCTGTTTCCTGGAGGTTTCCTGCATGGGGCTCCTGAGGTCTTGGAAATGAGCAGTCCTCAGAGGGCTGACAGTGACATTAACAACCTCCCCCCCCCCCACCCGGTCCCACCCCATTTTTATTGTCTACTTCCCAAAGGCAGGGCCTTCTCTGCACAAGGTTGGCTGGAGAAAGGCAGCCATGGAAGCCTCAAGCTGGAGGTTGGGCACAGGTACCATGTGAAACCCACAGATGCTCCTAGATTAAGGTGACCAGATTTTAACATTGGTAAAGCGGGACACCATTGACAGGGGGTTGGGGGTTCTTAATTAAAAATTTGATCTACATGGAGCAACAAAAATTTTCATAGAATGCAAAAATAGTATTGTAATATATTTTTTTAAAACTTCAACATAAGTACAATTTACAAATAAATAAAAAAAATATGTATAGTATTATTTTATTCTTTGGCATATTTCTCATCTGAGTGAATTTTTTTTAGTAGATTGCTGTCATTTTTTAAATGGTCATGAAATTTTTTACAAGAGTTTGTTAAATTATATTTCACACATAAAGTGGCTTTCAAAGTCTCAACACTTAATTGTAAAGTAAGTCCTAAGTGTCACTTTCAAGGCCGGCGCTAGACTTTTTGCTGCCACTATAAAATATAAATAATACGAGTACTGTCTGCTACATTCAAGAAAATTTATGTATTCATGAAATAAATAAATAAATTACTTACCTAAATTATCTGAATAGCTGATTTGTAATGACATCACTTGTTTAACTAGCTTACTAGCACACAGTATGATGTGTATTGTCTGAGAGACAGTTACAAAATGTTTTCACCATTGCAAACTTTGATAAGCAGTTCTCAATAATCAGTTCTCAACAATTATTTGTTATTATTAAATTTTAACATTATAAAATTAACAAAAATAATATAAAACTCATATCCTGGCTAAATAGCCACATGGCCGTCGAAAACCATATATTCCCTTCCCATTCTCCCGTCGTTCCCTAGCTTGTCGTGCATTCTTTCAAAAAATTGGGACTTTTTTAAAATGCCGCGGGGACGAGGGACAAATTGTTAAAAATAAGGACTGTCCCGCCAAAAGCAGGATGTCTGGTCACCTTATCTTAGATGCCCAGAACATTACCCAAGGCCTAAAGCAAGAGGGTCCTTTGGTTCTGAGTCTGATCCCAACACTCATAGCCCTAGACCTAAAGAAGGGGAGTGACTTGTGCAAATGATACACTGAGATATGGCACTAGGTCAGGGAAGTGCCCCTGAAGAGCTTGGAGAATTTTCCAAGAATACTGGTTGTAGGGCCTGCTCCTATGCCCTGAACCTGCACTAGTGGGAGAGTGTTGCCATTGTAGCCTAATAGTCCAAGAGAAAATGAAGTCAGCCTAGAGGTTGAAGCTTAAGGTGTTTGCTGGGACTCCTTGGAACTCTCAGCATTCACTAATGAATAAGTTGGATGTGATTATTTGTTTAATGCCTGGGGTAAAGGTGTCATGAAACTAGGTTGAACCTGTCTTGTCTCTAAGAGAGTACTCAGCACCTGAACACTGCATCATAGTAGATGGTTAATAAATACATGTGAAACAGCCAGGTGCAGGAGGAGAGTCTGGACTTGCTTCTTCCCCCTCCCTACCTTTCCCCGCCCCACATCTGCATCAAAGTGGGTATCTCACCTTTTTATCATGCCACAGGAAGGTTGTATGCCAGGACTGCCAGATGATATGGTGACTTCCCGATCATAGTAGTTCTGGTAGAGTACTGGAGCTATAGGTAGCAAGCTGTGAGGTCCAGGGCAGGGCAGGAAGGACCTCACCACCTGATACCCCAATCTGTTCCCATCCAGAAAATCAGACTGTGGCCCCACTTCCCCATCCTGGCTCGGGCCTGCCCTTGTATTTGAGGAACAGGCATTTCTCACTTCCATGAGATACCCCACTGTGGGCACCACCAAGAATGAATTTTCTGGTCTCATAATTTAGTGGAACCAAACTGGCCGGAGTAGAGGCTCTGAAGAGGCTCTCCATATACACTCCCTTTCTGAGTATTATAGTGTTACTAGAGGTCTGGTGTGTGAAATTTGTACAGCGGGGGTGTTTCCTCAGCCAAGCCTGCACCCTCTCTAATCCAGGACCCTTCGGGAGATGTCTGATCGCCAGTTTAGGCCTAATTCCAGAAATCGGGCCCAAACTGGCAATTGGACTTTTCTCTCACAATCCTGGACTGCTGGCTCCTAATGCTCACCTGCCTGACTGCCTGGTCACCCCTAACTGCCCCCCCCCACCAGTCTGATTGCCCCTAACTGCCTCCCCTGCCAGCCTGGTCACTCCAACTGACCCCTCTGCTGGCCTGGTTGCCCCCAACTGACCCCCCTGTCCCCACTGGCCTGGTTACCTCTTACTGCCCTTCCACCAGTCTGGTTGCCCCCAACTGCTTCCATCCCATCAGCCTTGTCACCCTTCATGGTGTCCCCACTGGCCTGGCTGCTCCACGCAGCCTGCTTGGTTAGTCGTTTCGTCATCCCTCACTAACCCCTCCTGCTGGCCTGATCCCCCCATGCAGCCTGATATTCAGGAGTTTGGTGATCCCCTACTAACCCCCCTGCTGGCCTAGTGTTAGGCAGCCATCTTGTGAAGGCATGAGGGTTACTTTGAATATTGCCTCTTTATTACATAGGATTAAGCTCTGCTCATCCTCTGCCTTAGGGGACTGTACTATCCTTGGCTCTTCTCTGAGATCTGGCCACATCTCCTCCACCCAGAAGGGATGTGTGAACCACCCCAGTCCTGTCTTGGCAGTTGAGGCTCAGAAAACTTGGGCAAGGATTCCTAGGGACAGGCAGGCATAGACCCAGAGGCCATGCTGCCTGTGGGGCTGGGCCTTACCTGGGGGCTCAGTGCCTGTACTCTTGGCCTGGATGAAGCTGTTGATGTCGGCTTCCACACTGCAGCCTTCCAGCGTCACCCGAACCTCCTCATAGAGCTAGAGGTGGGAAAGAACAGAGGCTGAGGGGCCAGGCCTCACCTAAATGTTCATCCTCGTCAAAGCCTTCTTTCTCTATGAGTCTGAACTCTGGCCAGGGGCTTCCACCACATCAGCTTCCTCACAGGCCTTCTATGCACAGCACAATGTCTGTATTCAGAAGGGTCTTGGGGTGTATCTGTCTCAGGCCTTCCTGAGGGGTCAGAGTCCTGGCTGATGGCATCTCCTGGTTCTTGAGCACCTCTTATGCACAAGATCCTATGCCAGGGACTTAACTCACTCCTTCTATGGTAGATATTATTCCCTCCATTTTAGAGATGAGGAAACTCAGCAGGAAAGTGACTTGCCCAATGTCACAGAGCAAGAATTCAGTGCATCTGGGCTTCATTCCAGTATGGCAGGATCCAGAACCCATCTTCCTTCCTCTTTGATAGGAGGCCACCCAGGTGGGTTCAAGTCATTTGGGTTGAGGGACCCAAAACCCCACAGCGCATGGAGGAGATAGCAGGTAAAGAACAGCAGTGAGCACCAGGGAGTCAGAGCTGCCTCAAGAGAGTTCATGGCTCTGGAGCTCCATTAACAGTGGTCAGAGACCCTGGTAGGGTGGTATTGGCCCCTTTCTGCTGGATAGGTCCCACCCCAATCACCCAGCAAATTCAGCTAGCTAAGTATGGGAACCAAGACACCCAACAAATGTCTGGGGGGACAGAAAAGGGACTGGACCTCAGTTCCTACAAAGGGGGGGCTGGATCAGAGCAGCCCAGCATTCTCCAGCCTTTCCGCAGACCTCTTTCCACCTCTCTTCCTAGCAAGGGCAGAAAGAGCACGTACTTAGAGTAGAGTCAAGATCTTGGACTAGGGGTGAGAAAAGAAGGCAGATGCCATGGAAATCACAAAAGCACAGTCTTCCAGCAGCAAGGCCATAACCCTATGCAATATTGACTTCCCTGTCCTTGGAGTCCTGAGCGCAGAGGTTGAAGCCTAAGGTGTTTGCTGACAGACTCAGAGGAACCTGGGCATACTGTTGCCCTCTCTTTATGCCCCTCCCCTCCCAAGTCACTCTGTACCCTCCCTGTCCTTGGCCCCCTGACCTCATCATCCTTGACACACTGCATGGAGAGCTGGTTGCAGTGCACCCATAGGGCATTTCGGAGGATGGTCAGCCTGTCAAACTCTTGAAGCTGGAAGGCCTGGTTATGGGAGGGAGGGAGATGAGAAGTGAGAAGGGAGCTGCAGAGGCAGGCCAGGCTGGGCCCCACTCAACAGCTCAGCTGGGGTTGACAAGCCAGACTCCCTCTGCTGAAAGCCAAGTTTAACCAAAAGACCCTTGCTGGTGTTCTCCACCCCCACATCTGTGCCACACCTCAGGCTTTTGGTAGGGAGGTTCCTTGTGGGGTTCCTGCTTCCACCCTCTCTCCAAGCCCTACCACACACTGGAAAGGCCCCGGGAAGACATTGTGAGAGGGGCAGTCCTGAGGGGTCCAGGGAAGCTATGGGTTTTGTCTGAGCCTCAGTTTTGGCCTCAACAAAAAGGAGTGAAGGATGCCTGCCTGAAACAAAGGGGGCCAGGGCATACAGCCAGGCAGTGGGCTCCCTGGGTTAGGGACCCAGCAGGAGACTAGAGAGTGAGTGCATGAGTGAATGAATGAAGGAATGAGGCCTCCCCCCTCCCCCACTGCCTTATTTCCCCCATGAAGTGGCTGGAGCAAGGATGCATGTCTTTCCTATTTTGTAGCTGGGGAAATTAACACCCAGGGTCACTCACCTCACAGGTGGTTTGGTGCTCCTGCTCCCACTCGCCTCGCACTTTCTCCAGATGCTCAATGTTCTGCCTGTACACCCGCTCTAGAAACACAAGTAGCCTTCAGGGAGGCCAACAGCCTAGACACGCGCTTCCACTGTTCACTCCTTTGCTCCTGCAATGCTCCTGCTCAGAGTGCCTTTTCCCTAAGCTAGACCTGCCCTGGCTGCTGGTACCTCATCTGGACACTTGTCAGGGCACCCACCATGGTACTTCTCCTTTTGGGGTGACTCTTAGCTCTCTGCTGTGCTCTGTGTTGCCCAAGTCTGGAGTAGAGCACATATATCCAAAGTCAGAGTCCAGGTGTTTTGTCATCCCTCAGTCCCACCCTCTTACTTTCCAGATAAGAAACCAAGGGCAGAACAAAAGGAGAGTAGAGAGGAGTATGGTGGCTGTTGGCTGGGGACCCAGCAGGCTTGGCCATGACCTCTGTCCCCAGAACTCTGGGGTTCACACATCCCCTGGTCATGGGAGAAACTGGGTCCTGGGAGAGGCAGAGCCGAAGGGAGATCTTTTCCAGGAGAAGGAAGCAGAATGAGTTTTCTGACCTAAGAGGTATGCTGGTAGAAACAAGTGGAGTTGGGGTTTTGGCATCAGGTGAAGGACAGAGGAGACAGACCCAGAAAAGGCAGTGTGTGTGTGTGTGTGTGTGTGTGTGTGTGTGTGTGTGTGAGAGAGAGAGAGAGAGAGAGAGAGAGAGAGAGAGAGAGAGAGAGACAGAGAGAGAGACAGACAGACAGACAGACAGACAGGAGAGGTTTGAGTGGATCTGTCTGCCATGATGGTGACTGTGAAAGTCCTGTGCTCTAGAGCCCAAAGACTTGGTTTGGAATGTAGTCAACACCACTATTAACTCTGTGACCATGGGCAAGTTACTTAACCTCTCTGTGCCTCAACTGCTTAAAAAAAAGGGATAATAATAATATCAGTCACCTCAGAGGATTGTTGTGCAAATTAGTTAAAAAACATGAAAAGCACCAAGAATAGTCTTGGCAAATGAGAGAACATGAATGTTTTTATTTTACTTTCATAAGTATGAAAGTGAGAGTGATGAGCTTGTGACACTGTAGGCACCTGTGAGTGTGTATATCCCCAGGGTAGGAAAGCATGCAGTGTTGGGAGGGTCTGTACAATCCACCACCTAGGTCTAAGGAGACAGGTGGGCCACGTACCTGCCTCCATGGCTGAGTCCTTGCACTGCTTGGCTTTGTTCTGGCTCTGAGGAGGCAAAGAAAAAGCAGTGCTGAACCTCTGTCCTGGAGTCACCCAGCCCCAGCTTAGGACACCCAGCCTCCTGAAGTGCCTCTGTCACCCCACTCCCTGAGCACCCAAGGGACAATCAAGAGCCAACTTGTGAACTTTTACTCCAGCTTCACCTCACAAAGGACCACAATAAAAAAGGTTTTAATAAAAAAGAAGTAAAAACAGAAACTTGTAGCTCATGAAAACTAGATGTCAGGACCTAGAAAGAGAAATACAGATCAGGAGCCAGGACCTGAGGCTCCATGTGGCCAGTGCTGAATCTACTGGTTGGGAATTGGGCTCTGGTCACCAACTTTCTGCCCCTAAATTCACCCTCAAGCCCCTGTCCTCTCTGGCCTCAGTTTTCCTGTATATGCAATGGGCAAGTGATGTTCTTGGGCTCTGGTAGCTCTGCTACCTCCACTCTGGCCCAGAGACCATAGTACCTGTTTCCCCGAAAATAATACAGTGTCTTACATTAATTTTTTGCTCCCAAGATGCACTAGATCTTATTTTCAGGGGATGTCTTATTTTTCCATGCGCTAGGTCTTATTTTTGGAGGATGTCTTATTTTCGGGGAAACACGGTAGTCATGAGCTTGGGCTCTGGATGACCTAGGTTTGGATCCTTTCTCTGTTGCTTCCTGGCCCTGAGACCTTGGACAAGCCACTCACCATTACTGGGCCTTAGTTTCCTTTCTGTGATATGGGCCCAATGCACCCTTCTCCAAGGGTTATGTGAGAGTTAGTCTCTGTTCTCATTGCCCTGTGATTTCTGGGCCTGGGCTGCAGAGGGCTTGCTTTGAGGAATTGGTCCTTGGGTGTAGCCTGGAGATGGCAAAGGGGGATCAAGCTGGCCCTGTCAGTTCATGCCCCAAGATTCTAGGATGGAAATGTGAGGTTCAGAGGGGTGGGCAGCTAGCATGTTCCATATGCAGACCTTGCCTGGGGGGGAGGGTGTCTACCTTCTTTGCCTTATCTACCCTTTCCCAGCATATGGCCTCAGTGGCCTCACACACCTTTTCCACCTGTTTCTGTTGGCCATTGATGCTAATACGCTCGAAGGCCTGCTCAGCGTCATCTGCGTCCCGGCACTTCTGCTCATATGTCTTCTTGGACTGGAGGTGTGCAAGGTGTGACTTGCGGGGGCCCAGAGTGAGGCTCCCTGAGCCCAGTCTCCCTTCTTCCTGTTGGGGGCTATGGAGGAGAGGGGGCCTCCTCCCCAGGGACAGGGATCTGAAGGTCCAGAATAAGAGGGAGAGGGGATCTTGTTCCCAGACCCCTACCCACCAGGGACAGCCCTGCCCAAGGCCCCAGCCTTTTCAAAGGGGAGGTCACATTAAACCACCAATAAGTCCCTGAAAATACCATGCATCCTCATGATACTAGTAGCCTCTGCACATGCTATCCCCTCTCGTGGAGCCTTTTCCCCCCTCACCCAGTATTCTAAGAGACACAGCTCAGGGGTTCCTTCTCCCTCCACTCTTGGAGTTTGCAGCTGACAGCATGGATCACACTGTGGGCCACTGTCTGGGACTGACCACCTGCCCATCTATCAAGAGTCTCCCCTGAGCAGTGCCAGGACTGATGCATATGGGGCTTTGGTACCCAGTGCAGTCCTGAGCACGTGGATGTTTCTGGATAAAGATCTGAGGCAAGCCCTCTCCCAGGCCCATCCCAGCTCTCCTGGGGTCTACACTTTGTGCTCTGCATTCCTCACAGCCCAAGAGCCTTGCACTCACCTCCATGACCTTCTTGTAGAGTAACAGTTTGCTCTTCTGGACACGGTCCATGATAGCCTCATACTGCAGGGGACATGAAGCTCTTAATGGGGGGCTGTGGCCTCTGGACGGTCCCCTAGGCCAAGAGAATGGGGCTTTCCTGGGATCGTTTAGTAGGGCCTGTGCCAGTGGAGAGACCTTAGGCAAACCACCTGGTCACATACAAACACACTGAGACACATGAGTAGGGAAGTATCTTTCCTCCTCGCCCAGCTCTGAAAGGCATAGAGACAAGATGTCCTCCCTCTCCCACTGTCTGTTCTTTCACAATTGCTTCTCAGAACAGAAAGCTAGAGAAGATCAGGACATGTGTATGTCACTGTGTTCTCTCATTGGCTGCAGACTAGAGCCAGGACTTGGTCTCTAGCTGGAGAATATCCAATTTACATGTACACACACACACACACACACACACACACACACACACACTCCTCACTCACAAGCCTCTGCACACTCACAGCTGTCACACACTGTGTACACGCTTTAGTTCCACATGACAGGCATGCAGTACACACTAACAGCCCCCCATGCTCCTACTGCTCCCACTGTTCCTACTTGCATACGCAGTCCTTCACATAGACACCATGCACAAGTATACACAAGCAAACTCTCATGTTCCCCTATCAGGCCTATTCACACTTAGTCTTGACCCCACAAGGTACACAGGCCATTGTAATCTCAACTCTCCTCCCAGGCAGCTTGTTCAAATAGAGAAGACAACACTCAGCCTAAACAGAGAATTGGTATGTGCTATGAGAAGAATCGGAAATGAAATGACCCTCATGTTGGAGCTGGAGCCATTTTGTGTCTGAGGTCACAGTAGGGCCTGTGCCAGTGGTGAGACCTCAGGCAAGCCACCTGGTCACATATAGACACACTGAGACACATAAGTATGCTCATAGGTGTGCACACATGTGTGCCTACACCCCCTCCCCACACACATACGCACATGCCCACGCAGACTTCCCCTAACACTGTATCACAGTTCACAACTTGTGGAGGTTCTGGCCGATCTGGGGAAGATGTTGGTCTGTCCAAAATAGCTTTTGCAAACATACAGACCTTCTGGCCACAGGAGAGCTTAAAATAGCCAGGCTGGGGCCTCACTGTCACAGCAAGTGCTCTGCATGCTCTACAGGCAAGTCTCCTCTCCAAGAGGTCACCTGTTTCAGCATCTCAAGATAGGACAGGCTTCTGGAGCTAGCTTTGGGGACCCACTGTCTGCCCAGGAACCCAAATTAAGAATCCCTAAAGCCTGAGACCCTGCCTGACCAGATGGGCAGACAGGGAGTGCAGCCACATTGCATTTCTGTGGCCAGAGCCACTAATTGGAGCTGGTGCCCTATCTGCGAAGACTAACAGGGGCCCCAAAGCTTAGGCAGCGGGAATAAGTGTCCCATCTTGTAAGAAGAAAACTGAGGCACAGAGAGGGGAAGTAGCTGGATGAGGACACCCAAGCCCAGCCTAGCTCCAACAATAAGCTGACACCTTTTTCTCCTTTACAGCTCAGTTGTATGGACTTTTCCATTTCCTTTATATATCTATATCTATAACTATATCTATATCTATATCTATATCTATATCTATGTCTATGTCTATGTCTATGTCTATGTCTATGTCTATGTCTATGTCTATGTCTATGTCTATCTATACCTATACCTATACCTATACCTATACCTATACCTATACCTATATCTATATTATATCTATCTATCTATCTATATATATATTTCACAAGAATACTTTCTTTTCAAGTAAGAAATGTTTCTGTGTGCTGATGTCTCCCTCCCAGTCCAGAATACCACCCTTATCACTAAGACCCTAGAATTTGAGCATGTGTCCTCACTTGTCTTCCCAGCAGGCCATATGCTTAGCCAATCAGTCTCAAGTTTGGGAGGAGACTCTGGGACACAGAGATCACCAAGCTCACCTCTCACCCCACCACTGGAGCTTTCCTGACACAGAGCCTTCAACCTCTGCTTGCATACCTCCAATGATGAGAGCCTCACTTCCTTTCCATGCAGTTCCTCCATCTAGGAACAGCCATGCCCTACACCTGGGTGAGAAGTATTGTGGATGCTAAAGTAAGCATGGCACCCCCTACTCATAGTAGGCTCTGTTTACCCTCTCAGCCTTGGGCAGTCATGCAGAGGGGCCAGTGACTGCCTCCAGGTCTGCTTTTCTCTCAGAAGAACAGCTTCGATCTTTGGGCTCAGGACCAGTCTTTGGGTGACACCCCAATTTAGTTTGCTCTCTTTGAATAACTCCAAGCTGTCACTGTCCCTCTACAGTCTGCTGTGGTAGGATGGTCAATAAGACAAATATCTTCTCCTCTTTCTTATGGCTCAGGGAAGGGCTCCAAGGGAGCTCCTAGGCCTGTGAACTGAGCCCTTCCCTTTTATCTTCAAATCCACCTCACCCGCAAACCTGGGGTACTGCCCCATACTCTATGGGCTCTCTGGCCCCAGAGACTTTATTTTGGTGGGAAGTCCTTAGGTCACTCATTCACATACATTGACCTAGTGTCCATCTCCCACCACCTCCAGAGTGAAGATCACTACCTCACACTTGGGGTCTTGGTGATGGAGGAACACCCCAGCACCTGCTTCACCTTTTTCCTCTGCTCCTTCTGCCTCTCTCGGAAGTCCTCAAGGCTGCGGAGCTCCTCACGCAGGGAAAGGGCCAACTGTATGTGGGAGTTTCCAATGTCTTCCATTTCTGAGGGCAGAGAATAGACGTTGGTCCCATATCAGACCAGATGGGTGTCAGCCACATACACATTCACCCCACCTAACCTAGCTTTTGTCGTCTCAAATCCTTCGTTAGTCCCACAGACCTGTGTGCAGCCTAAACTCCTCTCCAGGCCAGAATCCATCCACCTCTGTTTATGGTCCCAGAAGTCCTGTTCCCTACAGCCTGGGGAAGAAGATAGTTGGGACTTACGCTGCTTCAGGGAGTCAAAGGAGGCCCTCATGGAGCTGCAAAACAGAGAGGCCAGGGTCAACAGGAGGATAATGCAGTGGAACTGGAAGTCTCACCTGGCCCCAGGGACTTTATTTTGGTGGGAAGGCCCTAGGTCACTCATTCACATACACTGACCTAGACCCAAGGGAGCTGGGATTTCTAGAAGGCAAAGCTCTTTCTTTGGAAATTATAAAACTATCAGATCTTCCCCACTGGGGAATGATCCTGGCTTCTGCATGTCCTCAGGGCCCCTTTCCTTCCTCCTTGGAGCCCTTCTCCTGGCTGAAGTAGGAGAAGACAAGGTTTAGACCTGGATTTAGGCAGCTGGTCTGGAGGATATTTTGGAGGAAGGTAGATGGGAGGGGGCAAGCAGGGAAGGCGTGAAGGAGGAGAGAAATGGGGGGAGGCAGCAAAGAGAACAGGATGTTCAGATGAGGACAGTGGGAGGCTATTTCTGGCCCCTGGCTGGGGTGGCTCAGTGGAGACTGGTGACACCTATGAGGGGGACCTAGGAAGGAAGATAAGTAGTTTATTTTATGGTGTGCTGAACCTGAGGTGCCTGAGAGAACCCAGAAGAAGGAGGCATGAGGCAGCAAGGTGGGAAGCAGGGAGAGCAGGAAGGGAAGAGGCTGGTACTGGGCACGGAAGGTAGGAGAAGACACCAGAGGGTAGGGGTTGCCAGATGGAGCAAATAAAAATACAGGACTGCAATTAAATTTGAACTTAGATTAAACAACAAATACAGTTTTAATATGTATTCCCCATTAATATTTGAACATACTTATATTTAAAAAGCTCTTGCTATTTATCTGAAATCCAAATTTAAATGGGAGTACTGTATTTTATCTGGCAGCCCAGCTGAGGGGGCTCTTACCCAGAACCATGAACCAAGTTGAGGCCTAAGTAAAGATGTTGGAGCCCAGTCAGGACCCAGTTCTGTCTGCTGATAGGTAATGGGGCACCATGAGACAGAGTGCTCTTTGGGTCAGAAACAGCATGGGTGGGCAGAGTGCACATCAGCTTTCAGAGGGGCGAGCTCCCTGTTCTGTGCAGGAGAGCAGTGATTTGGAATTCCAGCATAGGAAGGCAGCAGGCCCTGAATAGGGGCTCTTGTGCTGGATTCCCACATGCAGACGCTAGAGCCAGGCAACCTGGGTTCAGTTCAGGCTCTGTGTAACCTTGGACAAGCTAATTATATCTGTGTCTATTTTTGTAAAATGGGGATAATAATAACACAAACAGGATAGTTGTGAGGATTAAGTGAATTTATATGTACAAAGCATCTCTGTTGGGATCCAGATATTGTTGTGCAGACCTTTTCTGAGTCCACAACTGCATACCCCACCAGTCCTGGGGGTCCCCCAGGCCCCTGAACCTAACATGAGCTATATCTCCAGTGTTCCATGTTAGAGTTTGTCCACTCTCTGGGAAACTGAGGCCAGAGAATGGCCAGGCTTATTGGAGTCACAATAGGAGGCAACAGGGACGTGTTCTGTCCTGGATGCATCTCGCAGGTGCCCTTGGCCAAGCCTTTCACAGGTCTCCTGGCGGTGCCCTCTTGTCTGCATCTCCTAGCAATCCATGCAAGGCAGGCTTCCAGGGGACTCCTTCATCCCATTGGACAGTCAGGGAAACTGAGGCTGAGCAGATGCAGATGCAGCACACTGGCAGCACACTGCCAGACCCTAGCCCTAAACTAAGTGAATTTCAAAGTGTGGTTTGCACATCAGCAGCATCAACATTATCTGAGGGTTTGTTGGAAATGCAGATTCCCAGGCTCCACCCCAGTCTTGAGGTAGAAACTCATGGTGGGGCCCAGCAAACTGTGTTAAGCCTCAGGTATTGCTGATGTCCATTCAAATGTGAGAGCTGCTGGCCTAAATTATTCAATCCTCACAACTCTCCTCAGGGGAATGGCCTTAAACTCTGATCTTATAGAGGATTTGGGGACCATTTTAAGTTTTTCTCTTCCCATGAGACCCATCAAAGATGGTTTCTCTTAGCTTTTCTATCATCTCCAGGTTCTTCCCTTTGCCATTCAGAAAAATCATTTCCGAGACCTTGAACTCTCCTCTATTGCATCTTCATTGCATGTCAAGGGCAGGAACCCCATTCAGACCTCTACCCTCTGCTATTAGTCACTGCTATCCTTGTGTATATCTCATCCAGATGCCCCTTTTGACTTGGATCTCAGGATGCTCAGCCTGAGATTTTATGCTTAAACACAGCATGCACTTCCAATATAAATATTTTCCTTTGCAACCATCCCACCATGTGGCATGACCCACCTCAGGCCCCTGCTTTGGCTTCCCTACCCACTGCCTACCAGCACACGGGAGGCTGCTGCCTCCCAGAGGGTAAGAGTGGCTCCTCTCACTTCCCTTTGCTGGAAGCTGGGCCTGAAGTGAGTTGATGTCAAAGAGCCCCTTCTGGTAACAGGGCCTGCCTATCTCTCTCCAACATCTTTAGTGATGTCTTCATTCTCTGAGCTCAGAGGAAGAGAAATTATGGAAACAACAGCAACAACAAAACCCTCTCCTGATGGGAAAACCACAGCGTGGCGGTGATGTGGGAATATAATGGTATAAGTTGATCTTCCTTCAGGAGCTGTCCTTACTTGAGGTAACCACACAGGGGCTTAAAGGAAATTGGCCCCAACCATGTCCACCTTGATTCCTCTTCATTTCCTGAACCTCTACCCTGTGCGAATTCTGGGAGCACATGCCCAGCACACAGGATGAGGAAGTGGGAGAGGCGGTACAGCTTTTGGGGGGAGTTGATATTTCAGCCAGAGCTCAAAGTGCAGGTAGGACTGGACAGGGAAGAGATAGGGGGCAACAGTCAGAGCAAAGGCCTAGGAGTTGGAAGGGAGAGTCAAGGTGAGCTTTCTGCAGGGCTAGAAGCAATATTGATACACTCCTCTGCCTTCCTAACGTTGTCTTTAAAATGCATTGAAAGGGCTTATGGGGGATCTCTTGACTGTGGGGACCAGGTCTTATTTGTGCATTCTCCATTGCCCAGTGGATGCTTGCTGATTTAATATGTGAAGAAGATGAATGAGAAAAATCATTTGAAGACAGGAATAACTTCTCTTTAATGTACGTGGTTGATCCTCCAGACCCTAGTGAGGTTTCTGGCCAGTCTGAGGGTAGGGCTGATGCAGAAATGCTTCTTCTTTAGGCAGCAGAGGTGAGGGAGGCCAATGAGCTCTGACCTTTTGGCTCTCGCTGAGTTATTTCTGGTATCACTTAACTTCCTGGCTTTGTTGTCTCTGCCTCCACCAAGCCTGTGCATCCCCAGCCCTCTGCCTGCCCTCCAAGGGGCTGAGAAGGAGCATCTGTGGGACCTGGGGATCTTGGCCATAGGGAGCTTAGGGGCTCCCTCTATAGGAGGAGGTGCCAGCCCCCAAGCTAAACAGTCAGGCCACCTTCCCCAGAGGGGCCAACCCCAAATATACCTCCACAAAAGTCCACAACACAGAAGTTACCCAGGCTGTCATTCACTCCACAAAGAGCCCTCCAGGTTGCTATGGGAGTGGAGTGATCTGATCAAAGCCAAGACCCTGATTGTTAGGTAAAGCTAGAATAGGTGGGAGAATTTCATGGAGGTGATAGGCATTAGAACAATGGTTCTCAACCTTTTTAATGCCACGACATGTTGTGGTGACCCCCAACCATAAAATTATTTTTGTTGCTACTTCATAACTATAACTTTGCTACTGTTATGAATTGTAATGTAAATATCTGTTTCCCTATGGTCTTAGGTGACCCTGCTAGCGGTGACTCACAGATTGAGAACCGCTGCTGTAGGGCCTATGACCATGGGAAAAACACAGATATTTACATTACGATTCATTAACAGTAACAAAATTACATTTATGAAGTAGTAACAAAAATAATTTTATGGTTGGGGGTCACCACAACATGAAGAACTGTATTGAAGAGTTAAGGCATTAAAAAAGTTGAGAACCCCTTCATTAGAGGGTTCTAAAGAGAGGGAAGATGAAATCATCCTCAGTGTACTAGACTCTGGCTTCAGGATGGTGGGGTCCTTTATTTTATTTATTTTTAAAATTTTGAATCCCCTGTCTTAGTGTGGGGCATGGCATGTAGTAGGTGCTCTATACATGCCCCTGGACTCCTTTAATCTTTTGAGGAAGGTTGCATTATTATCCTGACTCAATGACGAGGAAACAGGCACAGAGAATGTCAGTGACCAGACCGTGATTACACAGCTGGAGGGTGAGGAGCTGGTAGTAGAATGCATGTGTGTCCTCACTTTGCAGCCTAGGCTGAGCCAACACTGTAGGGGGCTCAGTAACACATGGAAGTCCTGTCACCTGCCCCTCAGGGCTCTCAGGACTTTGGAGGAGGTTATATAGTTATGCTGCAAGTGCTTGAGGACAGATGGCCCCTGCCCTCCTGCCCAGGACCTTTCCACCACCCAGACCACTGGATTTTCTCCCATCCACAGATTCTGACCTCTCAATACTCAAGAGCAGTGTCCTCCAGGCACCCCTGCCCTGGAAGCCACCCAGACGCTCCCTGGCCATCCCCAGTCCACTCTAAACCTTATCTAAATGCCTAGGAAGTGCCTGGCAATGGAGAAGGAAGTCCAGGGCCTGGGACCTCTTACTTGATCTCTGTCTGGCCGCCTGCTTTCCGGGCGATCTGTACCAGCTCCTTCCCGTACCGCTCCTCTGCTTGGGCCCTGCAAGAACAAAACATGGCCGCTGCATCTCCTCCAGTTCTGCTTGCCATGGCTCCCTCAAATGTCTTCAGATCCCTCAAAAGTCTGTGACAGGACCAGAGAAGCCACCCTCTTAGCATCTGTGAGCAGGTTGGTTTTCCAGACTCCTCCTTCAGAATTTAAGCCCCCAGCACTTTCTCCAAATCTGGGGAATGTCCAGCCTGAAGCCCTATCAATTTGGTCTAGCCCTGCCAAGGCAACAGCAAGCAGGACTCAGAATTCAATAAGTCTAGGAGTTTTTTCATAGCAATATAATTTTTAAGTTGATAATTTTGTAAGGACCACGAATAATGTTATAAACATCGAAATGCCCCTTGGCAGAATAAAGGTTCCCCACACTCATTCTAAATAAATGTCGGCCAAATACAGGTACATCTGAAGAGTCCATATTATTTGCTCACATGGGGAAGGCCCACATTGGGGGAAACACAGGAAAGCCACAGTCATGACTTTTTTTTTTTTTTAAAGGAAAATAACTTTAATGTATGAAATGTGCTATAATACAATATAGGAAAAAGCAACATGTTTTAAGAAAAATGGTCCACTTTGCTGAATATTTTTTATGTACTCATATTTTTAATATCAGGAAAAAATGGTTGTTATTTATTTTTTAAAAAACTTTTTTTTAAATTGTTGACACCATTACAGATGTCCCCCACTTTCCCCATCCTTTGCCCACCTTCACCCACCTTGGCCTTCACCACACTGTTGTCTGTGTCCATGGGCTATACTTATATGTTCTTTGGCTAATCTCTTCAACTTCTTTATCCCCACCACCCTCTTCCTGACTGAAGCTTGGCTGAGATGGGCAGCCTCAGTCATTTTCCTGAACTAGGTGGAGGGTAGCCTTCCTCCTACACCTACCCTCACTGACCCTGTTGACCCTATTGGTGCTCACCTTTGCCTCAGCAGCTCTTCCACATCCTTGCACATCTTCCTCCCATCCAGCAGCCGCTGCAGCAGCATCTCGTAGCCTGTGTGGGCTGTGAAGTCCCTGCACTGTCACACAGAACATAGGGATGTGAGAGGGCCATACTAGGCAGTGCTGGGTGGGGAGCACAGCCTGGCAAGTACTGCTCTGACCACCTCCCTTTCTGCCTCTATCTCTCATTCAAAAACTCTTAAGATTCAGGACTTGGCTTCACACAGGCACACAGGAGGCTCTTTCTCTCCCCACTGCTCCACATGTAAAGATACCAGGTACATAAATGAGACCTACCTGGAATCAGAGCTTAAAGTCCAGGAGACAACATCTCCCTAATATAGGACAGCCATGGGAAGAGCCACTACAAAGGCCCCATGATGACAGCCTTTGCAGGGTCCCCTGCACTGCTCACTCCTTTCATTGTTTCAATAGCCCTATTATTTCAGCTGTATAAGTATGAAAACTGAGTCATAGATGGGTGAAGTGTGCCCAGGGTGATACAGCTTGAAAGTCATCTGGGTCAAGTTCATGCTCTTAACCTCTACACTATATGGTCTCTGCACTATATGGGCTGTCTGTGTGGGCTCAGGTAATCCTCTCATGCCCACCAAGTAAGGTAGGCTCTGAAGGTGTCTTAAGTTAGGACTGAGCACACTGACACACATTTAGAACACAGGTAGGACAAGGAGACTTAGGGCAAATCTAGCACGGCTAGCATATTTGACACAAAACTAGGACACCTAGTTCATCCCAGGTCCACCTCTTAATCAGGGCAGTTGGGGAAGCACATCTTAGAGAATTCAAAACACAGCTTCTATTTTACCTCCCACTCAGCACTTGCTGGCTGTTTCTGAGTCATCTAATTCTTTGTTCTCATCCCTGGAGTGGACTCTGAACTTCCGGTGTAGGAAGTTGGGGAGGGAGATCATACTCAAGGACTAGGAAGGGACAGAAGTTCTCCTAAGACATCTCTAGGTCTAGGGGGTAGGTCTGGGTTCAGGCTGCTCCTCAAAGTTCACTGGACACCTGACTGCCAAGGGAAGGAGCTCCATTCAGGAGGAAGTGGAAAAATGTCATACTGAAAAGAGAGGCTTTTATGTCTCTGGTCCCAACATCCATTCATATTATATATATGTTTTAATGTTGAGAGTATTATAGATGTCCTACCCTTTATTCCCCTCCCCATTGCCCTCCTCCACCAAGACCCCCCTCCTACCCCATTGTCTGAGTCCTTCGATAATGTATATTTGTATATAAGTTCTTTGGTTAAACTCTTCACACTACCCTGCCTCTTCCCTCAGAGATTCATTACTTTATTCCATGTTTCCATGCCTCTGATTCTATTTTATTCACCAGTTTATTTTACCCATTAGACTTTTTGTTTATTTTGATTTTGTTTATTTAGATTCAATTGTTGATAGATATGTATTTATTGCCATTTTATTGTTCATATTTTTAGCTTCTTCCTCCTCCTCCACATCCTCTTTTTCCTCCTCCTTCTTCTTCTTTAATATATATATATATATATATATATATATATATATATATATATATATATAATTGATTTTTTACAGAGAGAAAGGGAGAAAGATAGAGAGCTAGAAACATCAATGCGAGAGAAACATCGACCAGCTGCCTCCTGCACACCCCCTACTAGGGATGTGCCCACAACCCAGGTACATGCCCTTGACCGGAATCGAACCTGGGACCTTTCAGCCTGCAGACCAACACTCTACCACTGAGCCAAACCGGTTTTGGCCCTCCTTCTTCTTGAAGACCCTTCAACATTTCATGTAATACTGTTTTAGTGGTGATGAACTCATTTAGCTTTTGGTTGTCTGTGAAGTTCTTTATTTGACTTTCAATTCTAAATGATAGGTTTGCTGGGTAGAGTAATCTAGGTCCTTACTTTTCATCACTTTGAATATTTCTTCCCAATCCCTTCTGGCCTGCATAGTTTCTGTTGAGAAATCAGTTGACAGTCATACTGATTCCCTTGCAGGTAACTGCTTTTCTCTTGCTGCTTTTAAGATTCTCTTTTTGTCTTTGGCATTTTAATTATGATGTGTCTTAATGTGGGCTTGTTTGGGTTCACCTTGTTTGGAACTATCTATGTTTCCTGGACTTGTATATCTTTCTTTCACCAGGTAGGGGAAGTTTTTTTTTTTTTTTTTTTTTTAATCATTATTTCTTTAAATAGGTTTTCAATATCTTTCTCCCTCTCTTCTCCTCCTGGTACTCCCATGATGTGAATGTTGGTATGCTGGAAGTTGTCCAAGAGGCTCCTTACACTATTTTTATGTTCTTGGATTCTTTTTCTTTTTGCTCTTCTGATTGGATGTTTTTTGCTTCTTTGTATTACAAATCACTGATTTGATTCTCAGCATCCTCTACTCTACTTTTGATACCCTATAAATTATTCTTCATTTTTAGTGTTGCCTTCATTTCTGACTGGTCCTTTTTCATGTCTTTGATGTTCTCACTATTTCCTTAAAATTCTCACTAAGTTCCTTGACATTCTCATTAAGTCCCTTGAAGCTCTCATTTATTTCCTTGACCAACCTTATTATCATTGTTTTGAGCTCTGTATTTATTTATTTATTATTTTTAAAAATATATTTTATTGATTTTTTACAGAGAGGAAGGAAGAGGGATAGAGAGCTAGAAACATCAATCAGCTGCCTCCTGCACACCCTCTATTGGGGATGTGCCCGCAACCAATGTACATGGCCTTGATCAGAATCGAACCTGGGACCTTTCAGTCCACAGACTGATGCTCTATCCACTGAGCCAAACCAGTTTCAGTTGAACTTTGTATTTAGTGATTTGCTTGCCTCCACTTCATTTAGGTCTTTTTTTTCCAGATATTTCTTTTGTCCTTTCATTTGTGACATATTTCTTTGTCTCTGCATTTTGGCTGCTTCCCTGTGTTTGTTTCTATGTATTAGGTAGAACTGCTATGTCTCCTGGAACTGATGCTATGGACTTGTGTGGTAGGTGTCCTATAGGGCCTAGTGACACAGCCTTCCAAGTCTCACCTAAGCTGGGCACTCTAGGTGTGCCCTTTTGTGGGCTGTGTGCATTGTTCTGTTGTAGTTGAGCCTTGATTGCTGTTGGCATCATGGGGAAGAATTGACCCCCAGGCCAATTGGCTGTGAGGACAGTGGGAGAGCTGCAATTCAAGAGATATCCCTAGGGAGCAGAACTGGCTTCAGTGGGGCTTTGGCACTTACTAACTCCATCCTTTGAGTGTGTCACTCATAGATGTGGTAGAGTTGTAATATAGTGTAGTCTGAAGCTGTCCACTAGGTGCTCTGGCTCTGGGGCCTTTCAGGAGGTACAAAGTCAATCACTGCCTATGCCCTGCCTGGAGCCAACCTGTAGATGGCTGCTATTTGTGTTGGGCTTGGAGGTGCCCAGGGAGGCTAAGCTGTGCACCTTAGCAAGTTGTTGCTAGTACTAGGCCTGGGGCCACTTATTGAGAGTTATGAGGCACACTAAATCCAGATGATGCTTGTTTGAGAGATTTTAGGAAAGTCTAAAGCCTGAGCCAGAATAGGCCATTTGTATGGAAAAGCCACTATAAATAGTTTGGGTGGGGCTGCAAATTGGGTGGGGTGGGATTTCAGAGAATCATCAAGATGGGTTGAACAGTATGGAACAGATTGATGGAGACTCAGATATGGTCTGCCAGTCAGCTCTATTAGGGGGAGGTGCCAACACTTTTGTCTGGGACAGTGGTCAGCAAACTGTGGTTTGTGAGCCACATGCAGCTCACAAGCCCCGGTTTGCCGCTCTGTTGACTAATGAGTTTGCCAACCACTGGCCTAGACTCTCAATTCCAATAATTACAGGCTGTTGTTGTTCCTTGTAATTAAGCCCCTATCAAGTGGTCGGCAAACTCATTAATCAACAGAGCAGCAAACTGCTGGTCTGGGATAAAGCTGCCCCCAAATTCTTTCCCTCATGCCACACAAGTTAGTTCCTCCCTGTATATCCCTGGATCCTTTCAAGCTGTTATCCTAGTGCAGGAGATTAGGGTTTGAGTAAATCTGTGCACTAGCCCCTTAAGAGGAATTGCCTGGGAGTCCAGCAGCCTTTATGTCACTCAGCCACAACCCCCACTAGTTTTTACAGCCTGAAGTTATGGGGACTTCTCTTCCCAACACTGGAACCCTAGGCTTGGATCTGGCATGGGGCTGGGACCCCTTGCGCCTCATGGGGGCCTTTGTGGCTAAGATACCCTTCCCAATTAAAACACGCCTTATATGGGTGTCAGACCAGCCGGTTCCATGCCTCTACCCCATCCTACCAGACTCGGTGTGGTTTCATTTTTAGTTCTCCAGCTGAAGGGCTTCTATTCAGTCAAATTTGAGGTGGTTATGAATGAAAGTTGTTCTGTATTTTATTTATAATTTTTAAGTAGTTTGGGGAGGCAGTGAATACCTTGGTTTCTTGTCCGCACATCCATTCTTGAGGAAAGGTCCCAAACCTTGAAGGCACTCAGCCAGATAATTGCAAATAAGGTCAAGATTTAGCACCTAGTGTCTTTTTTTCTTTCTTCAAAGACCCCAAGATAGCCCCGGAAACTGGGAAAAACAGATCCATTTCTCAGATCTCACAGGCCATGTTCCCAACTCTCAGAGAATCATGGAAGCTTCCACACATACTTAGAGGTGGAAGTTTCCTGTCTTAAAGTCAAAGCTGCTGGTGCTCCGAAGGACAGTCAGATGTAGTAGGAAATGGTAGAGGTGGCATTAGTTATGTAACTGGCCCTGTGTCAGACCCAGCCCACACTCAACAAACTCAGAATTGTGGCATCTTTAGGCCTGTAGTAATTAGGACCCCAAGCTTATTCTTTCTTCCACATTCCTAGAAATTCCTTAGGCCTAGGCTCCACTACCCACAGGGTGACAAGCAGGGTGTCTGGACCGTGGTTGACCACTAAGGGCACCAGCAGAAAGAAGTAACCCCAAGCCCTCTGCAGTTCTATTCTGGGGCCAGGGATAGCTTTAGTGTCCAGGCTGATGTTTCTGAGCTAAGCTGGGTCAGACTTCCATTTCTGTGGCTTTCA